TGTGCAGGCTGGTCTCGAACTCCTGAGCTCAAACAATCCGCCCGCCTCGGCCTCCCAGAGAGCTAGGATTACAGGCGTGAGCCACCACGCCCGGCCCCCTTTAAAGTTTCTTTTACGAATGTCTCTCCCTGTCCACCCACCCTACAAGACCTAAATTTCTTTAAGAATCAAACTGACGGACTTCTCATCAGTCTTTCCCAATGACAAAATCATGTGACTGGTCTTTCCACCATTTGACTAAGTGAATCACCCAATTAAAAAAAAAAACAAAACAAAAAAACCCGCACACCACAGTTTTGCTCTACACAAGAAACATTTAACAATTAATTATGCGAAAAGCACAGAGGGTACTTTAAGTCCCTACTCTGAGAATTCACCCTTGCACATGGCTTACGAGGTAAATTTTAACCATCCAGAAGTTAGTAGAACATAGTGGACATCCCTTCTCCACAGTTTAACAAGCTGGAGGGGATGAATGAGGTTAGTACTTTACTTCCTCCTTTCTGCCATAGCTATATGGCCAGATGATCAAGTCTTATTTGAGTTTATGGTTCCCCAGAATAGCCGAAAAGACTATGTATGGAACCAACGAAAGATTTCTTCCACTATGAGAAAAGGGTTAAAAATTGGCGGGGTCTGATGTGCCAAACCATGAAAAAACAGGAAAAGGAGAGCGTCAGTAAGAAAAATCAATCCCAGAATGGGATCCTCTGGGAGAGAGAGGGCTCATTCTTCCACTCTGGCTCCTGGAAACCCGAGAAGCTAAATCAGGTAAAATGCCCTGGTAACCTGGGGGAGGCGGGGCTCGTATTGCTAAACCAAGGTTCCAGGCCCCACAGGGGTGTGACCTAGTGGCCGAGCGGATAGTGACAAACTTCGGGTACCCCCACAAGGACGGAGCCCTGCTCAGGTCACCGCGGCCCAGTATGGGTGGGTGAGGATTAGACCGATCCAGTCACCCTGCGGACTACAGCCCATGCCGGGCTCCCGGGGCTGGGCAGAGGCGCGGGGGTGGGGCCGGCCCGGCTCACCTTTGAAGAAGCGCAGAGCCAGGCCGTACAGCTCTTCCAGGCCGAAGCCCCAGCGCAGCTCCAGCTGCCGCGCCTCCTCTGCCGCGCCCCCAGCCGCCGTCTCCCCGGGCTCCGGCTGCTCCCCTGCGGCGCCCGGGCCCCGACCGGATCCGGGAGGGGAGGGCGGCGGCAGCGGCGGCGGCAGCAACGGGGCGCCCTCCGCACCGGGCCGTTCCTCCGGGTCCGGACTTAGCGTGAGGCCGTCGACAGACACTTCAAGTCGCTCTGCGTTCAGCACCGCCGCCATCTCCGGCTGCTGCGCCTCCTCCGCGGGGACAGGCGGCGGCCACGTATCGACTTCCTGCTGACCTCTGACCTCCATTTACCGACACCGGAACTTCCGTTGCTGAGGGGGCTGGAGGGCTCCGAGAGAGGGGCTGAGGCCTGGCGCCCCGCCCCCTCCGTCATCATCGGCCACGCCCCTCCGCGACCACACGCCACGCCCCCCCGCGACCACACGCCACGCCCCCCCAGCTCCCACTGGTCCCAAACGTCCTTCCTCACCTTTACCCCGTTTTCTGGGACCCCATTTCCTATCGGCGGGCGAGTGCTACAGCCCAGCGCCCCCTGCCCAACCGCCGCCGCCGCTCCGTTCTATTCCGCCGCTGTCAGTGTCCGGCAGGGGTGGGGTCAGGCGAGCCCTGCATGGGAGTCTGCACTGGGCGGGCGACTACACAGGCAGGCGCCCTGGCCTCCCTCCCGGTCAGAGACCCGTCACGTTTTAGGGAGTTGTGTGGTTGGCGGAGGTGTCTTGCCCACCACAATTTCCTTTGGCCTTTACAGAAACTCCGAGGAAATGCAGGCCAAATTCCAAGGTTTTTTAAAAAAAGAAAACTGAGGCTGCAGAGACTTTCAATGACTTCTCTGAGGTTGTTGTAGACAGAGGCAGATCCTGGTTTTGCAGGAACCGAAGCTCATACAATTTGTGGGACCCTCATTAGGAAAAAGGGTACAAAAAATTACCAGCAGAAGGATAGGAAAGTGTATATATGTAACGAGAAAGAAATAACAAATGACATTTTTAAAAGTTAGCAAAACCCACAAACATCACACACATAGCTATAATATTTTTATTAACTTCTTGATACAGGGCATCCAAGAGCCCAGAAACAATTATTTGTTTTTAAAGATTGAAGATGCTCTTGACATTATATATCTTTATGTATTATATATACACACTTATGTTTCTAGACTTTTGGGGCACCATTTGTGATAATTTTTCCTACCTTTTTTTTCAGCTGCATACATTTGGTGGTCTTTTCTTGTATCAATTGTAATGGGACTTTTTTTCTTTCTTTTTTTTTTTTAAGAGACAAAGTCTCACTCTGTCCCCAGGCTGGAGTGCAGTAGCACTATCATAATTCACTGCATCCTCCAACTCCTGGGCTCAGATCTTCCAAGTAGCTGGGACTGATTATAGGCGTGCCCCACCAACTCCAGCTAATTTTTTTTTTTTTTTTTTTTTTTTAGAGAGAAGGTCTTTCTATGTTGCCCAGGCTGCTCTCAAACTCCTGGGCTCAAGCAAACCTCCCCCCTTGGCCTCCCAAAGTGCTGGGATTACAGGCATGAGCCATTGGGCCTGGCTTTATTTTGTAACATTTTTTACAAAGAAGAGATCAACTAGTCTTTTCTCTAGCATAGTTGATTAAATTTGTTTCGTATTAATAGTTGTTTATAAGTTTCTTTCAGCAGCACAACTCATTACTGATAATGTCATGTACTTTTTAAGGGCTATTGTCAAATTTGGGAAAACCTCTACCAGGTTTCTCTCATATATGAACTATGAGGTTTTAGGGCCATTTGGCTGCTTCAGTGGTAATTTTGTGTGTGGTTTTTACTAAAGCCCCAGAGTTTTTTCAGGACAAAATTTGTATACTATTAAAACATTCAGGCAAGATCTGATCCATTAGAATGAATAAAATATATACTTCACATACAGACAGACTCACTGTAGTACAACTACAAGTTTATGTCCCATAAACACGGAATTACAACATATTCCCTTTTGAGTGATTCACATAAAAACAAAAAGAAGTATAGTACATTTATAATTGCATATATGACTGACTTATAGATTCATGTTGAGTAAGAACCTCCATTTTGATTAGGCGTAGAGAGAATTGATCCCTCTACTTGTAATTTTTCACTACTGATGATTGGAAAAATTTTCTATGGACTAGCTTCTTTCAACCCTTCTTTCTCCTCCACCACCTATGTACGTCCTGTGCCAGGCACCATAGAGCTCCTTTGCACTCTGGCCCCACACTTTTGTGACATGGTGCTGGCTGCATTAGCATAATGGGCAGTAGATGTATTCCAAAAAGCCATTCCTACACCCATGGTAAGCAATAATTTAACAATATGCAGGAATGACTGCACACCACTTAAATGCATGCCACTAAATCCAAATTAAATGTATCCCTTATTCAGTGAGATCCAGCTCCCCAAAAAAACCTATGGCCATTTTCCAGTACACCCTAATGCAGAGAAGTATGATGAAGGGAAGTCAGAAACAAAGAGACAGTGGTATTAAATATCTTACTCTCAAAACTTTTACAGAAACATTTGACCATGTACCTGGCACTGCTAGGGCCCTCTGAGGGGCCCAGAAGCTTGAGCTTCGTAAACTTTGTGGCAAACCCACTTATAGCTGTAGGGGAATCAAAACTAATTCTACTACTCCAAGCCCTGTGTTCTTTCTACTTAACTTGGAACTTTAGATTTAGCTTTAATTAGTCTAAAAATATGCATATTACAAGGCCTGACCTTCAAGAAGTCATAAATATATTTCCTTGTTGTGTCTAGCTCAGCGTCCTACCTTTAGAATCCAATAACTGTTGTGGGTGATAGTGACTAGGGTAAATATAACTCTGCTTCATGGAATTATAGAGTCTGTTTTCCAAGTTTTCCATGATAAGCATTTATTTTGTATTAATAATCAGAAAAAATATTATTTTTAAAAATAGTATACAATAAATATTAGGTAAAATATAACAAGAAATTAATCATTATTGAATTTTTTTATTATTTTGGAATTTAACATACTGGATATTCTTGAAAAACCTGAACATCTTCCAGACCAAACACCAAAACCTCTTGCTAATAGAACCATCAAGGGCCATCTGATAGGTAATTGTTCTTAGTAACTAAAAGAAGATTAGGAAATATAATTTCCCTTTAATTTACCATGGGAGATGAGTTCTAGACTTTCACTATACTAAGAAGTCAAACTGTAACGCGCATAGGAATCACCTGAAGGTCTTATTAAACTGCAGATTCTGACCCAGTAGGTGTGATAGGAGGCCTGAGAGGATGCATTTCTAATAAGCTTTCTGGCGATGGCTGATACTGTTGTCTACAGACCACACTTTTTTTTTTTTTTTTTTTTGAGACAGAGTCTTACTCTGTTGCCTGGGCTACAGTGCCAGGTCTTAGCCTAGCTCACAGCAACCTCAAACTCCTGGGCTCAAGCAATCCTTCTGCCTCAGCCTCCCGAGTAGTTGGGACTACAGGCATGCGTCACCATGCCCAGCCAGTTTTTTCTATATATTTTTAGTTGTCCAGCTAATTTCTTTCTGTTTTTAGTAGAGACAGGGTCTCGCTCTTGCTCAGGCTGGTCTCAAACTCCCGAGCTCAAACAATCTGCCCACCTCAGCCTCCCAGAGTGCTAGGATTACAGGCGTGAGCCACCATGCCTGGCCCTTTTTTTTTTTTTAATTTTTTAAGACAGGGTGTTGCTCTGTCACCCAGAGTGTAGTGGTGTCATCATCGCTCACTGCAACCTCAGACTCCTGTGTTCAAGTGATCTTCCGGCCTCGGCTTCCCAAGTAGCTGGGACTACAGGCTCACGCCACCACACCCAGCTAGTTTTTCTATTTTTTGAAGAGACAGGGTCTTGCTCTTGCTCAGGCTGGTCTCAAACTGCTGGCCTCAAGCAATCCTCCTGCCTTGGTATCCCAAAGTGCTAAATTACAGGCATGTGCCACTGCACCCAGCCTACAGACTACACTTTAAATAGCAAGAGTCTATGAAACTTTTTTCATACTTTATTGAGGTATAATTGATGTACAATAAACTGCAAATATTAAAGTCTACAGTTTGATGCGTTTTGACATATGCATCTACCTGCAAAACAAATTTAATAATATGTTAAAGGGATATAAACAGTCAGTCTATTACACCATGCCCTGGCTGGGGCTGGCAGTGCATGCACTGCAAGAGAGGAGTGGCAGAAGATGACCCCAGAGAGGTAGGCAGGGGCCAGATGTGCAGGACTTAGAAAGACAGGCCAGAGGTTGTCCTGTAGGTGGTGGGAGCCGGTGAAGGATTTTGTGCCAGGGAGTGTCATGAAAGAGAGGCTGGAGAGGAGGCGGACAGTGGGAAGCTCAGAATAGAAGCTGCTGTCACAACCCCGGTGAAAATAACGAGATCTTGAAGAGGAGCAGAGTAGGAAGATGACAAGAAAGAGATGAAGGCCAAAGAGAGCTGCAACACAGTTAACAGAGCCAACAGAGCCAGCCGAAGCAGGTGAGGGACATGCATCTGTCACATTTTTGCTGTTGCAACCGTAGAGCCATTTTCTGGACCTCTGCCTCCTTGTCTGTAAAAAGTAGAAATCGTTTCTGCCCTGGTTTCACCACGTGGTGTTGATAGGCCCAGATTAACTTATCTCTGGAAAAGTGCTTTGGAAACTCTGTGATAAATGGATGAGACATGATTCTTGCAGCTGCTGTCACCATTCCTTTCTGGCCTTCACATCCAAAACACTCTTAAGGGCCACTGTCCATTATGAAGTGATATTATATTTTCAGATTCAAAAGTAAAAATAATTCTGACCAAAAAATCAAACTTATAGAAATTTGTTTTTTAAAAAACAAAAGTCTCCCGTTATCCCATTATTGAGATCTAATCAACATTACCAATGTGGGGAGCATGCTTCCATTTGCCTTGCAAACTAATATTCATATAATAATAATGACGATAATTATTATTAAATGATCTCCTGCAATGACAGCAAGATGACCTGGGAGGTTGGGAAGGAGGCCTCTGATGCCAAGATCTGTTCCAAAGACACTCGGAGACCAAGGCTTAAGCTTCAGGGCTCCTCGGCCCCACCTGCTGGCTGGAGACGGTAGCGCTGCCCCTGCGGGAGGTGCTCACGGGGCTCACAGACCTACCCCCCATCCGTGGCCCTGTGGCCACCTCCTGCATGGGGGAAGAGAGACGGAATAGGGTGGGGGAAGAGGGGCTGCGAGCCAGACAAAGGCTGGGGCTCTGGGCCGGTCTGCC